TTTAGACCAACTTTGTACGACAAAGTTAAATTTCCGAAGAGAAACCAGCTGAAAAATAAATTTGCACAAAACTTCCTAAATTCCAACAAAAACGAAGATTTTGAGCTCAAAAGATACTCAGCGCGCTTAGTTAGCGAGAAAAAAACAAGTTTGTGATGTTTAGACCAACTTTGTACGACAAAGTTAAATTTCCGAAGAGAAAAATAAATTTTGACAAAACCTCCTCAACTTGACAAATCTCAAGTCAAATGAACTAAACCTTTACCTAAACCTCTCAGGAAGCTGACGCAGGCAGCCGATACAGAGTTCACCACATGCCACATGCTGAACATTAGCGAATGTGCTGTTGCGGAAAAGGAGGAGAGCTTCGTGGTCACCCTGTATAATCCCCTGGGAAGACCAGTCAGCAAATACGTGAGGTTGCCAGTGGTCGACGACAATGAAGAGCAGATAGACATCCGCAACCCTTCAGGTAAACACCAGCCAAACCAAAGAGACTTTTATCGGCAAGTGTCTTCGTTTCAGGCGGGCGTGTTATTGCACAGATAGTCCCCATCCATGAGTCCGTGCTAGCAGTGCCGGGCCGCAACAGTGAGGCCAAATTTGACTTGGTGTTTGTCGCCGAAGACATTCCGGCCCTCGGCTACAAGTCCTACTTTATCCAAAGAACCCGGCAGAAATCCCCTGCTGGGCGGGTCACAAAATCGCAGGCCTTCCCAGGCAAACTGCGATCGCTGGCTGAAACTCTGGGAGTCAGCGTGGAGTTCCAGTACTACACTGGAAATTCTGGAGACTCCAGCTCGGCTGACTCCACCCCCTCAACTCCCTACATTTTCCGACCCCATCCAGACATTCCTCTGCAATCGATTGAAGTGAGCCACGTGACTACCTACTCTGGACCTCTGCTAACGGAGGATCATGTTTATTACAACGACTGGTTTAGCGCCGTTGTGCGCCATTATAACGACTCTTTAGTGTCCGAGTATGTCCACTTGGTTGGCCCTTTGCCTTAGTAAGTTCTTCCATAGACCTTAGCATAGAAGCCCCGTAGAAAGTTCCTCTTGTGTTCCTAGTGACGAAAATGGGGTGGAAGTTATCGTGCGATTTACCGCAGACTTCGAGGGCAAAGTTTACACAGACACGAACGGCCGGGAGTTCATTGAGCGAATCAGGAACTTCCGACCCACCTGGAACATCACGGTGGTCGAACCGGAGGCTGCCAACTATTATCCGGTCACTACCGGAATTTCTATCCAGGATGGAAGCACTAAAGGGATAGTCGTTTTGAACGACAGAGCGCAAGGCGGCGGAAGTGTGGTGGACCAAACCATCGAGCTGATGGTAAGTTTTGGAGGTTTGCAAACCATTTTTGAGGAACTTCTGATCTTTCCGGGGTCTCGGTCAAAGTGTGAAGTAAACACTTTTGAACATCGTTTATTCCATAACGTTTCGGCGAGACAACAGCGCCATCATCAGATTTAAAATTCGCACAAACTCATAATTGGTAAACATTGCGTTCGTTTAGGTCTTTGCTGTCTTCACACCTTAAATTTGTTTCTCAAAAAACAAATATTCGTTTCCTTCCTGCGTC